GACCAGCACCCGTACGTCGACGAAACGCAAGATCTGTTGAAAACATCGCCGCTGTCTGTGAGATTGTGCAGGTGAATCCGAGGCAGCCAATTTCGCTTCGCTCACAAGAACTCGGCCTTTCGCAGACCACAACTTGGCGAATTTTGCGTCTTGACTTGGGCCTGCACCCGTACACTATTCAACTGACCCAGGAACTGAAGGTAAATGGCCATAGACAACGACGTCTGTTCTCTGAATGGGCTTTGGAGCACTTGGCCACTGATTCTAATTTTCATCGAAAAATCATCTCCAGCGATGAGGCCCATTTCTGGATGAATGGGTTGAGTTAGGTCCAAAGTTAGTTAGTCTATTCGACCCACCAGCGCAACCCACAAGGGTTGTACGGAGTACGGATCTGCCGAACTCTAAAAACCTGATTCTTTTCCCAGCGGGGCAGGCACAAAGTATGTGCTCTGGTGTTTCATCATTTCAGACACACACTGTCTTCTGACAGTACGAGTCGCTGCATATGATGATTCAAATGACAGTGACCTGTAAGAAAGCCTTGTTGGACATCATAGTTCATCCATACTGTAGTCCAACAACTGTTAGGTATCAAGCTTCGAAGGGCGAATAAACGCCTTGAAGTAGCCAATCCTGGAAGATTCTGCAAGAAGTCCATGCATCTTCTTGCCATCCAGGTGTTCAATCATTGTTTGGCAAAGCCTAAAGCGATTCCAATGACAGGTTCTGGTCCGATGAAGCTCCTTGCAGCACCTTCCTTTGCAAGGGAGTCAGCAGCTTCATTGTCTTCCAGGCCAGTATGGCCAGGATTCCAGACCAGAGACAATCTGTTAGGTCAATCGCGGAGAGTCGTTTTAGGCAATTTGCTACCAATTTAGACGTTGCTCGGTAGGAGCCAAGAGCTTGGAATGCCGCTTGACTGTCCGAGAATATTTTTATTGACTTGTGTATGAGGTTGGTGTGATTTGGCCCCTTTAGACTTTCTCTTATGAAGTTTTCTCAAGTCACAGGTGTATGCGAATAAGCGACAAACTTTAACTCTCCTCAATATTAGGGGAGTCCAAGCGGGGATTTCGGGATTCACTAAAGCGCGGCAGATTAATATACAGGGGGATACCTCGTACCCGGTTAAGTACCTCCACCAAATATGAGCCCCATATATAACGCCGCCTGTGAGGGATAAAGGATCGGATTAGTAAAAAAAAATTGATCATCAGAAATTCTCGAGCGCGTCAGATTAAGGTAGGGTGAGTTAATTACCTACTAAAAAGTGTATATTCCAGTAATCTGACAATTTGAGAGTGACGTAAAGGAAGGGGAGGGCAGCAAAGTTGTAAAAAAATAACGTCATTTCGACATTCTCGAGCGTAGCTATCTCGACACGCTTTTTGGTGTTCAGTAGGGTCAAGACTGTATGATTTTTGTAAATCATACAGTCTTGCTTCACATGCTGTGAATTTCTTCTTTGGAGGTTAACAATGGCTGATATGCTCCAACTCCTATAGAAGGAATAATAGTGGCTCCGGAATAGAACCTTGAGGCACGTCGGGTTCAAAATTTGTTTTCTGTGTATACGTACCCGACTGAATGTGAGCTGATCCATTGTCTCCCATCTGAACTGGTTCAGACAGGTCAATTTTCGTTAATTCGGTACTTACCGACACTTCCACTAGCACGAAATTAAAACAAACTCGTAATCCTTATCAAATCCAGTTCAATTAACGTTTTATCTCCTTAACACCCAAACTTAGATGCCGGACTAGTCAGTTATGTCTTCAAGACTACCGTGTTTCGTGATAGCGCTCTAGAGTTTTTTTTTCGCCGTGATATCTCTCCAGGTGATTGCAAATCGGGTAGATAAACGATATCGGCAATTAGAAGATAAACCGCTGTTATGTGTGATGGTTCAAATCAGTCTGTGAGACATGTCGCATAGAAGTATACCTGCTAGACGTTCTCAGAGCCTGCCTTACAGGCAAGTACCGCAGGTTTGGAGAGATTTCAGGTCGAGGTTGAGTTCTGTTTCCGGACAAGATGGGAATTCAAGGCGAGAGGTAATACGATTATTTTTTGGTTATCTCGAGATAAAAGTATTTGTTTTTGTCGCTGTTTTTCCGTTCTTGTGACGAGCGAAGGTCGTCCGTTGGGTTGGGTTTACTTTTTGTATCCTAGTCGACATTGCGTGGGAGAGTATACAAGGTTAAGTTTTCTGATTGACATTGAACGTCAATTTTACTGACATTTATCGATCACAAAAGTAACTTTCTCTTATTTTTTCAAACAATTTTGCTCTGCATGAACACCTGAGCAAAAATATTATTAACTAACTATTAACAACTACACAATTAACTAGAAAACCAAAAAATGTGAAAACTATAATTAACGGGAAAATACTAATAAAAAGAACGACAAAATTGAGAATTATATTATAATTTGAACCCTAACCATAGTGATTAAATCAAAACATAGAAAATTACACATAACAACAAACATTACACATTGAATGAAAGAAAATTCACTTCATTCAAAGAAATAAAAGTGTCATATATGCACGACAAAATATTTTGTTGATGCAAGAAAAAAGAATTCTTGACTCCTGATTTTAAACAGATTTTTTAAACAGTTTTGCCATTTTGTAGTAGTTGAAGATATTGACATTATATTCTGGGGTTGTGAAGCATTTGTCAGGAGCTTCAAGAAGATGTGTCACAGAAGGGGGGTTCTTTCCATTTAATTTTTTTCCAATATGGCGCCCAATCGCCAGTCATCTGTCAAGTTCACTTCAAAATAAAGTATTCATGCATTAATTTCAGTATCCCAAATTTCCTGAGTCGACCCGTACAAAAAATAAAAGGTGGGGGGACATTAAAGAAATGCACTGTAGAGTCTTCAATGTGATCTTCAGCTACTGTTGATGATCTCCAACAGCCATGCCTTTTTATCTTTGTTATATCTACCCCTGAGCTCACTAACAATGTAGTGGAACTAACAACAAAAAATTAGTGTGGGTTTGGTAATTTAATTTCTTGTAGCGTTTTTCCAAATTTGTGGATATGAAGCCGTTGTTTGTATGTCTTACCATTAGTGCATTTGGAAAATAATAGAAACCAGCCCGATGGTCTACAATCTTCATATTTTCTGTTGGGGTTTGAGTGGTTCACTACTATGAATGAGCTTAATTTTTTTGTCATCGTGTCAGAAAGAGTAAATAATAAATTTCCCCCCACATCTTCAAATCATCTAAAGGAACAATTCGTTCAGGCCAGTCTCATCTCCCTACACTGTAGGTTGATGGACTGTCACCTATCAGAAAACAACTACTCCCATGGCTAATACCACGAAGGGCGTTGGATTATATCCAACAGTTGTCAGTGCAGGATTCTTCACTGAAGTTATTCCTGCATATGCTGTTGGCGATACAAATGTCGCAATAGATTTCCAATTATTGGAGCACACTTGCAGACCGGTTTCGGGCTGCTTGGCCACTCGTCAGTGCAAGGTAGTGTCTATCATCAACATAAAGTCGATGATTTCCGATAACTGAAAATCGAATTCCTTCAGAGTATCATTCGTCGAACTAGGTTGAAGCGGACAACAAACAACAGGTTTCTCATCGCCCCGTCTGCGTGTGGACGAGGCCCTTCGTGGTATTAGCCAGGGGAGTAGATACTGAACTGACACCCCCGTGAATAAGCCAGTAGGCTTATTAAACCGGCAAATCGACAGATCGACAAGGAGATTGCGGTTGCTGTATTTCTCGATATTGAAGGAGCATTTGACAATGCACTACCTAAATCTATAGGATCATCTCTGGCTAGAAAAGATATAGAATCAACCATAACTGGCTGGATCTATGCTATGCTGGTAAACATAACTGCAACTACGACTCTCCAAGGCTAGGCCATTAGGTTCAGGGTCGCCAGGGGCTGCCCTCAAGGTGGGGTACTATCTCCCCTTCTGTGGTCACTCCTGAGGGATAGTCTGCTTGATGCCCTCGACAGAAAAAAAGTAGATTTGCAAGCTTATGCAGATGTCCTTGTTATCTTGGCAAGGTACACGTCGGGAAGGGTAGCTTGTGATATCCTCCAAAGCGCGTTGGACGTTGTTCACAGTTGGTACCTGAGGGAGCAGATGTCTGTCAACCCCAGCAAAATTGTGATAATCCCCTTCACCAGGAGGAGAAAATTGGACGATCTAACGCCACTTTCCCCTCAATGGTGAGCAGAGCACATACTTTGTGCCTGCCCCGCTGGGGACCGAATCAGGTTTTTGTGATTGATGTGCGTAAATTTGCGAAGATCCCTAGCTTGATCGCAAAATACTTGAAATTACCAAACGAGCTAGAGTACATCGTCATTTGGACCAGGGCTGAAGCCTTCAAAAATGGCAAAAGTTAAAAAAAAATAGTATGATGAATCCCTTCAGAAAAGGAGGGGAATATGATAAAAATGAAGGGAAAAATAAATTACAGGCGATCTGAGTTCAGGAAGTGGGAGGGGGTGAGTTTTTAAGGGTACACAATAGTTTATCTCGATTTCCGGCAAAACTACAAGTCCTACGGAAAAAAGTCAAAAGGCAAAGTTGTGGGTAATGAAAAGATCTACAACTTTTGTAGGTACTCATTTTTTGAAGAGAACTCCCACAAAACAATGGAAAGTCTTTGGGAGATTTGTTGTTAAGAAACATACAATAATCCCTGTATATTAATCTGCCGCGCTTCAGTAAATCCCGAAATCCCCGCTTGGGCTCCCCTATTATAACGTAGCATGTTCAAAATAAATACTATATTTTCCACTCTTCAACCGACCCCTGATTATTACTGTCATTATTACTATTATAAGATCTATACAAAGTAATAAACAAACGTTGAACTTCTCTGGCAAATCTTATCAGCGTTTGGAAATATCGAAATGTTTCCCAAGGCTCGACTGATAACACTTGAAATGTTTCCGATAAAATTCAACACAAATATCTTCTTCCCTTGATTATTTTCGTATCGTGTTCGCTCAAGAAGAGTTACAATAAAACGATTCGTCTTAATCGTGTGCGAATTAATTGATTTTTTTCCCAATTAGCGGTGCGATAATGTCAGATGAGTGTCGGAATATCAAAATAAAACGAATGACCTGCTTCAAAACTCTTGAAAACTACAGAACTAGTGGGTGACTTCGTCGTTTGCGTGCTGGTTTTTACGTGTGCAGTGAGCTTTTTTAGGTTAAGTTTATTGCTGTGTATGTGATGTCTTTAAGGAGTTCGACTAGCGGTTCGGGCTCTTCTAGAAATTTCGAAAGTTCCCAGCTGTTGCTAGCAAGGCCAAAGAGCTATGGCTCTCTGTTGCCTTATTACGAGTTCATCAGAGCCACTGTTAGGGCCCAACAAGGACAGGTGGGTTTGTAGAATTCAGGAACTATTTTTGGGTTGTTTGAAAAGTTTTGCCCGTTTCAATATCATTGTCCAGTCATTTTAGGTCGATTTAGGCCTGTATTTCGGAAAGTTTACATACCCAGCTGCAAATTTGTATAAACTTTTTATTTTGGCATCATAAAAGTATTCTCAAAATTCACATATGATTCGACGGCCGCAACTTCAAAAATTGGGGGTCAAAAGTCAAAAAAACGACTTTTTGCAGGTTTTTTGCCAATATCTCGTTTCCAATGG